ATTCCGGTTCTCATCCTGTGGATATCAGATCTCCTGCCTATCAGATATTTACATCACCATTCATAACAGCAGCGACACGACAGTTATGAGGTAGCGAGGAGATCATGTTATGGTTGGGGGGGGGGGTCAGCACACCCTGAGGAACTGCATCAAAGGGTCGCGGCATTAGGAAGGGTGAGACTGCTGGTTCACAGTGAGGGTTACAGGGGATGTGGCCATGGGGCTGAGGTCTCGGGATGAAGGTGCGCAGGTGCAGTGAAGCCGAAACGCTTTAGAAAGCTTAAGACATCAACAGTAAAGCTGCGAAGTAACGGCCAGCGTCACCAGCCCCTCTGCATGTCTGTCCAACACAAATCTAACGGATCCCTTCCCACACCTTTACCTTCAGCTGATGTACATTTTTGTGCATTTTTACAAACATCTCTTGCTCCTCTCTTCTCATATAGGGCGGACATTGTTAAAAAAAAAAGAAAGAAATTAGGAGTGGAAATGAGGAGAGTAGACAGAGTGGAGAGCTGTGAAAGACTGAGGTGAGAGACACATGAAGGCCTGCCCCCGTTGCTGTCCTGGGGTGATGTGCCCCCAGTGTGCCCAGGTCCTCCGAGGTCTTAGGAGGATGATATTGATAACTCTATGTAAAACTTCCTGTCTTTATATTATTTATCTTCTTCCCTTTGTATCTCATATGTATTCCCGGGTGGCCTTGCATTCACAGTCAATCTCCTGCCTCAGCCTCCTAAGTGCTGGATCACAGGTGTGCTACCACCATGCTCAATACAACTTCCAGTTTTTAAATGAGAGCAACTGGGTTTTTAAAACTTAGCAGTATAGGGCAAAGACAATTTGTCCTTGGGCCAAAAAGGGTCTCCAAGGGTTAGTCTAAAATCTCTCTTCCTAGGGTGACCTCATAGGGTTTCAAGTGCTGGCCGACAGATGCGGCCAAAGGTCCACAATCTGCTTAACTGAACTAACTGGCTACACAATCGAAGTTACCCTTCAACAGTGATCTTGTCTCTGGAATTCACAACTCTAGGTAGTTAAAGTGTTCTCATCCAAGTTTGGGCTTACCATCTGCACAGACGAGAGAATCACTGTGTGTTCCGTTCCCTGTATATTTTGGTTTGATACCCACATGCCAGTTTTATGTCCCTTCTCTTATCAGAGGAAGACAGAAGCAAATTCCTAATTTCCGGTAGAGACAAGAACCACAGAGGGACCTCAACCAGCAAAGAGAGCCTGGCTGTTCCCAGGAAAAACACTTCCTACCTTTGCGTCTCCTGGTAGTCAGAGCTCACCATAATGGAATCAGCTCCACCCCTCACACCTGGAAAAATACCTGAAATGTCACACATGCTCCTCGACATTCAGGGAAGGAAGAGAACCAGAGAACAAAATTCCCTGTTTTATATAATGTCAGCCTCCTCATCCTCTCTCTCATCCTCAGAGAGAACTGGGGTGATGGCCAAACTCTTTTATCATCCCAGGCCTCTGTGTCTAGCGCAGAATCCCTCTCCTCTCTCTCAGTACGGCTGGAAATCTAAATCCAAGAGGCCAATTTAGTCATTCTTTATGGGGACGCTCACTTCCTGACAGTTCCCAGCAAGCCAGAGGCCACCAGTTAGGCTCACAGTCCTGCGGTTTCCAGTTCTCTGACTCTACAGCAAACCTTTCACCGTTAACATGAAAAGACACCACCTGCCTCTTCCGGCATGGGAGGCTGGGCTTCTCTTCCCTAGCCCTAATGTGGTAAATATTAAGGGTCACAAGCTCAAATGTGCAGTGGCCAGACACAGAACTGGGGGGTGAATGAGATGGCAAAGTAGAGATGAGGGGTCTCACTTCTCTTTTTTGACAGGTTTTTCTGAAACCCCCGCCTGAGACAGGGTTTCTCTCTGTAGTCTTCTTGGCTGTCCTGGAACTCACTCTGTAGACCAGGCTGGCCTTGAACTCAGAGAGCCACCTGTCTCTGCCTCCTGACTGTTGGAATTAAAGGTATGTACCACCACTGCTTGGCTGATTTTTTTTTTAAACAAGTCAAAATTTCAAAGCCCAATAAAAGAAGCCTGTAGCCAGCCAATTTCGATCCTGTGTAAAACACAGCATTTTCCTGGAGTTTAGAAAGCATTTCCCAAGTGAAATAGCAGAAAGATATGAAAACAAAACAAGACAAAACATAAAAACAAACAAAAATCTCACTGAAAGGCCCTAGACATAAATGGTGGATCCACTGGGAGCCAGTGCTCTGCAGCTGGCCAGTGGGTATTCCTGGTACCTAGCCAAAACTGTAGCTCCAAATCATGCCGTCAAGGAGAGTCATGGCGTCCTCTGTAAAGGCTCATTTGTGGACTGACTTCACACCCGCGGTTCTCAGCCTTCCTAACGCTGTGACCCTTTAACGCAGTTCCTCATGGTGTGGTGACCCCCAACCGTAACATTATTTCATTGCTACTTCCTGACTGTGATTTTGTTACCGTTATGGATCATAATGTAAATATCGGTGTTCTCAGAGGGTCTTAGGCGACCCCTGTGAAAGGGTCAGTCGAACCCAGAGGGGTTCACGACCCACAGATTGAGAACCACCTCTTTACATAGAAAGCCCTCAAGCTGCATCTGGAGTGAGAGCTGGTTTGGTTTCTCTGGGTAGAATGGAGGCAAGAAAAGAAAAGAAAACACTCAACAGTATGGTTTGATCCAATTCAATGGTGTAGAGACCCATTGTCCTTTTTTTGTTTTTATGCGTGTGTGGGTCTGTGTTATGCATGTTTTTTTTTTTTTTGTGTGTGTGTGTGTGTGTGTGTGTGTGTGTGTGTGTGTGTGTGTGTGTATGCCTGGGGAACCCACAACAGCCACTGGATCCCCTGGAGTTCCAGGCAGTGATAAGTGATAAAAATAAATAAATAATTTTAACTCTCTATCATCTATCTTCTATTTATCATCTATCTTCTATTTATCTATCTATCTACCTACCTATCATTTATTTATCTATCATCTATCTCTCTATCTTTCTATCTATCTATCTATCTATCTATCTATCTATCTATCTATCTATCTATCTATCTATGTATCTATGCATCTATCTATGTATCTATGTATCTATCTATCCATCTATGTATCTATCTATGTATCTATGCATCTATCTATGTATCTATGTATCTACCATCTATCTATCTATCTATCTATCTATCTATCTATCTATCTATCTATCTATCTATCTATCTATCTATCTATCTACGTGAGTGTATGTGCAGGTGCCCATGGAGGTAGCAGAAGGTGGCGCTGGACTCCAGAGCTGGCATTATTGGCCCTTGTGAGCTCCCCACCCCTACCCCACCCCTACCCCCCGCCACGTGGGTGCTGGGATGTGAACTCTGGTTCTCA